CATGCCCGGCTGATTTTTTTATTTATTGTAGAGACGAGGTCTCGCCAAGTTGCCCAGACTGGCCTCTAAACCCACGGGCTCAGGCAATCCACTCACCTCAACCTCCCAAAGCAAAGGATTACAGGCTGAGCCACTGAGCCTGGCTTCAGTGAAACCTTGTTTCTACAAAAATAAAAAAATTAGCTGGGCATGTTGGCACACACCTGTAGTCTCAGCTACTTGGGAGGCTGAGGCGGGTGGATCGCCAGAGCCCAGGAGGTCAAGGCTAGAGGAAGTGGTGATTGTGCCACTGCACTCCAGCCTGGACAATAGAGGGAGACCCCAACTCAAAAAAACAGAAACAAAAACAGGAAACAAAATGCACCCAGTCTTTCTGGACAGGGCACCCTTGTCCCAGAGGCTTTGGGAAGCCCGACGGGTTATATAAAGTCCCTGGAGCAGCAGAGGGGAGGGCCGGGCCCACCGGGACGAGAGACAGCCCCCCCGCAGGACATCGACACCGGCCCACTCGACTGGGGAGGAGGACAGGCCGGGAGAGTCATAAATCGCCTGCTTACTTGGTTTAAAGAAATAAACCGCCGGACAGAACAGATCTACCCGGGACAGGAAGCCATTAAAACATGACAGAGCTGACTTGGAAGCAAGCCAAACAGACCTTCTAGAAATAAGAAAGGATCGCAACGAAAATAAGAAACTCAGCAGACATGTTGGAAACAGCCCCCCGCCCCAGGACAGGCAGGTCTAGAAGAAGAGCCCAGTGAGGGCCCGGCGGAGGCGGGGGAAAGCCGGGGCGCAGCCTCTGTCACGGCCTGCGGCATAAACACCCCCGCCAAGGCCTGTTTCCGGCGCCCAATAGGTTCACAGTCAGCTCTCGGGGTTCCTGACCCGTGCACACCACGGCCCTAGACAGTGAGGGCCTCAGAAGACGCAGCCCCGGCTGGCAAAGATTCCACCCCAGCAGCCCAGGACCTCCCAGGCTGAGCTGTGCAACAGTCCTGGGGGCACTGGAAAGACAGTTTTTTGCTTAAAAAGAAAGGAGTCTGGGCAACCTCGGAGGTCCCCTTCACGCTCTGGGAGTTTTTCTTTCCTCTCAATAAATCTGGCAAAGAGACTCGTTAAAGTCTTGTCCATATTGTCATAGCCCTTAGAGAAGGGTACGTCAAGAGTGCGAGTGTTCCTGTACATTCTTGAACAATATTCCTGAGAACTAATCAAGGGTTTCTCCTTATCTTCCCTAATCCCCACCACACACCCAGTAAGTAGCTGCAGGGGATCCTTGACTTCCCGGTATGCCCCATGCCCCGAATGATGCAAATCTCTTTTGACTTCCTTTTTCTGAGTGGTTATAAGTTTGAATCACATAGTATCGATGCAATCATAAGCCTTGTGATTTGTATAACTTTTGCATCAATGTAGCAAGTTTTGTGATTTGTATAACTTTTGTATCAATGTAATAACTTTTGCGATTTGTATAACTTTTAGGTAATGCATGGTGTCTTAGGCCTTGTAGACCCCCTTTACGCGATGGCAAGCTTGATGACTGCTTCGGTGGGGCCCTGCTGATAAAAGCGATGAGATATCTCTGATACCTGGCACCAGAGGTCTGGACCGAGAAATGTCACTGTCGATAAATGAGGCCGAAACTCAAGTTCTATACCATGCTCTGCTGGTCACATGGCTAATGTCTCGGTACCAACCACTCTGGATATATAAAAGTGAACCGTAAAAGCCCGGAGGGGGAGCGGAACCATTTTAGAAAGCTCTGCTCCCTGGATTCGAACTCAGAAATAAACTTCTACCAGTTCCCTGCCCCTTTGATTTACTGGTTTCACGGGAACAGCTGAGCCTTAAGTCGTGCTTAAAAAAACAAAGGCCAGGTGTGGTGGCTCAAGCCTGTCATCCCAGTGCTTTGGGAGGCCAAGGCGAGAGGATTTCCTGAGTCCGTGGGTTCGAGATCAGCCTGGGCAACTTGGCAAGACCTTGTTTCTACAATGAATCAAAAATTAGCTGGGCGTGCCTGTAGCTCCAGCTACTTGGAAGGCTGAGGCAGAAGGATCCCAGAGCCCAGCAGGTCGACACTGGGGTGGCTGTGAGCGTGCCACTGCACTCCAGCCTGGGGGACAGAGTGAGACTCCAACTCAAAAAAAAAAAAAAAAAAGTCCAGAATTCACCTTAAAGGAAGCATATGTCCAAGAAACCAAGACCAGTCTAAAAGAAATGAGGCTGGGATAAAAGTCTCACAACATGTCTCGGGCCTCAGAAGAAGACTGAGACACACAAAATCTTTTGGGAGGTTGTGGCCAGGTGCGGTGGCTCACACCTGGAATCCCAGTACCTTGGGAGGCAGAGACAGGAGGATTGCTTTTGCTCCTGGAGTCAGACCAGCCTGGGCATCACAGCGAGAACCCCTCTCTACATAAAAATAAAACAAAAGCTCAGCCGGGTGTGGTGGCGTGTGCCTGTAGTCCCAGCTACTCAGGAGGCTGAGGTGGGAGGATTGCCTGAGCCCAGCAGGTCGAGGCTGCGGCGGCCGTGAGCGTGCCCCTGCACACCAGCCTGGGTGACCGAGTGAGACTCTGACTCAAAGAAAAAAACAAAATCTTTAGGAGTCAAAGAAATAGATCTGCAATGGTGAAATTGTGAGTGGAGAAATCTCCTCAGGCCTCGACTGGGGTCCTGGACCTCCCATCAGCGAGAGGCCCCTTCCTCTTCCCAGGGCAGAGGCTGCCAGCCTGTGGGCAGGGTCGGGCGGGAGCTGGGGTCTGCACACTTTGGGACCCAGAACCTGCGGGCAGGGTTAGGAGCTGGGTTCGAGGCCAGTCCTGCCCCGGTGGTGAATTGCTCTTATCGTCTTGAAGAGCCTGGCTGAGACCCTGAGGTTGGAGGACTCCCCCACTGGACACCCCAGGCTTGAGGCGAGGTCCTCCCCCAGACGCCCACCTGGCCAGCACTCAGCCAAGCCCAGGACCGTCCCGTACCCATGAGGCCTCCCTAGAAACAGGTGTCCCCTCCCTCCCTGGTTGCCAAGGCAACCCCACCACCCTCTCTGGTCACCTGGCGGGGGGGTGGGAGGTCTCCACATGCCGAGAGACCCTTCCTTTCACTGACTGGACCTCCAGCTCTGCTCTGGCAGGTCAGGGACAGGCAGCCGCCCCCGCCCCGCCAGCTGGGGGGGGCCGGGGGGGGCCCCGGGG